GAAAGGGTGGGGGGAGTCAAATCCATCTGTGTACACAGTTATCCATGTGTATGGCAAAAAAAAAAAAAAAAAGGAGAATGTACTGATGTATCTATTTGGAAAAGTCCAGATATAGCATACTGGACTGTGCGTTTAACTCCATTTTAATCTTCAGGGTCATGTCAAAATATGTGCTGTGGCATTTATCTGATGTTTTTGAACTCCAGACTTAGCACTTTCTCAAATGCTACAGATGAAAGCAAACTCTTCGCAATGGCAGAGTGACTAGTAAGGTGATTTTTAGACAGAAAGTTTGATTTCTAATTGTCCTCCTTATATGTGTCAGCTAAGACCTTTTTTGAAGTAGACCTTGCCGGTGGCTGCTAATTTGTCTTCTGAGGTTGCACCTAGTCAGCAGCATGCTGCAGCACGTGAGGGAGACTGTCTTCTGCTCATCTCTTGTTTATAGCCTTGTCCTGCACTTGGCTGGCATAACATGTCTCTGTGTTAATGTTTCACCTGATCCGAGGGAAAACATGTGAAATATTAAATAAATCTCACTTTAAGAAAGCAATTCAGATAAAAAGAGGGATAAATGCAGCCCCCAGCTCAGAAGGTGAATGAGAAGCATGTTTGGATATATGGACCACCACTTTAATTTTTGTCATCTAACTAAGCTGTGTTTAACAGGAGCTGTACAAAAAAGCCCGTCTCCTAATGTGAAGACCAAACAAGGAGAGACCTCATCTCCCCTTGGCTGGACTATGAAACGCTTCCTGGAGCCAGCAAGCCGGGTAAAAGGATTAGATGCAATAAAAGCAGTGTCTGCTTCTAATTTAGCTTTTACTGAAGCTGTTACTTGATCAAGGAGTTCAAAACCAAACCTCTATGCTCCTTCCTGGTTACATGGGCTCAATAAAAGGGTTTGTTGCTTATATCACACGTTTAAATAGTGACAGCAGCAAGCTCCTGTTTGTCTGTGTGGCTGTAGCCTTTGGGAGTGATGTGCAGAGCATGGCGGAGCTCCTGCTGCCTTGAAGGCACCTCTGCTCTGTGGGACACAGAGATGAAGTTAGCGGGAGAGACCTGAGCCTGTGGGCAGATGGTTGAGCACTTGGTCTCTTTACATAGCCATTGCATTTGAAAAATCTCTGTTTGTCCTGGGAAAGCCAAAGAAGCCATACAAACTGTGTCCGGAAGCACAAACCCTTCCCTTCTCTGAGTGCAGAAGCTGTATTAAGGGAATTACACAAGTGAGTGGTTTCGTCCCTTGTTGCTGTATTGAACCACATCTGCAAAGCAGTGGGATTTGTAATCCTTTGTTTTTTTTAATACTGGCTAAAAATGTATTGATGTGCAGAATTTAAGCTATCCAAGTTTGACAGTTTGGCTTTCAATATACTGACAAGTCCTCTGTTTTAAAAATTGGCTTTAAACTTACTTTATTGACAAGGGTGATGTGAGTGGAGTTCGTGGTGCTTGCATGGAGTCCGGGGCTTTAAACATCGACTAGGCTCACTTCTTTTCAGCAGGGATCTGTCAGCTCCGAGGCAGAGCTTTCACAGTACTTCTCGCACGACAGTATGGGCCAGCTCCCATTTTCTGATGCTCTAACCGGCTCCTGTGACGAAGAGCAGCTTCGTCAGAAGAACAGAAACAGTTTATTGGGTGATGGCTCTCTTCTTCCTGGCAACCTGAGTAAGCAATCAAAGTGTGTCTGGTCATTTGGCTAGTGGGGGGGGAGGTCACTGAGCACTGGTTTGCTTTACAGAAGAGGTACAGTGATTTCTGTGCTGGGAATAAATGCCTGGCAGCATAGGGCAAGCCATTGCTGTTCGTATGAAATTCTGGAAAATGGAAAGGGTTTACAACAATGCACATAAATGTCTGTTTCCATGGTATTTTGTCCAAATAGCTGCTCTGATTATGTGAAAATGACTTTATTTGATTAGTTTGGCCAAAACTAGGTTGACAGTACTGCAGGTTGTTTTTCAAATGACTGATGATCATTCGATTGATTACATTTAAATGAAAGTGTTCGTAGCTATCTCAAATACACAGTTTAGAAGTGTCACATATAGCAGTGTAAAAACAATCAAGTGTTCAATTTGACATCAGATACTTTGCATATGTGTCTTTCTCCCCATAGTAATTGACTGAAGGAATCTTAAATTTCCTTACTGACATGCACCTGATTTCAAATTCAAAGGGTATTACATTTGTCTCCTTTTCCTGTGCTTCTCAAGTAAGGTCTCTGTCTGCAGCATATTTTCTCTGGAAAATCATTATTTAATGCTTAAAAGAACTTTTACATTTTAAAAATCACACAAAACAAAGCAAAACAAACATTTCTACAAAATAAGATGTAGTTATTTCTAAGAAGGATTTGGAAAGGGGTTTTGGGTTTATTAATCTTTAATTTGAAACTGATTGTCATGTGCTTGTGCCTTTGTTCAGGAAAGCATTTTTCCCTCTCTGTAAATTGGTGCAGGTGGTCCTGAGCATAGATTTAAGCAAAATGTATAAGAAATTCTGTTGTTTAAAGCAAAAAACACATGAATTTACATCCCTTCTTTAAATCATAGCCATAATCTAGAAATAAACACAAAATAGAAGCAGATGTGCCATGAACTGATTTCAGGAATTACCCATAAATTGGGGAGCTATCTGCCATCCCTCTTGCTGTTTACTGTAGTTAGAGGGGGGACATGAAAAACCTGCTTTTTGCTTTGTGAGGAGAAGTTAAGCTTCTGTACTCAGCTGCAGTCAGAAACACAGCATTAAAAATAATGTATAAATACAATTAAAGTGTACCCTTTTTTTTCCCCCCAGCTGCTAGAGAAGCAGGAGTGTCAAAAGCAAATGGTCTGGCTTCTCCAGCTAGTGGGAGATCGTCTGGCCTTCTCAACAAGCACATGGAGTCTGTCCGACCCGGCATCCTCAGCAACAGCACCAAAACTGCCCGCAGCCCCTTTCACCGACAGAGAAGGGTTGTTTTCTATGATGGTGATGTTAGTGATGACGATGAAAGTTCCCACTTGCAAAGAAGCCAGAGGGCCAAGAGCCAGGAGGACGCTGGTGTTGTTGTTACAACCTCATCCGTAGAAATTGATGATGAGAGCCAGGACAGTGAGTCACCTAGATATAGTGGCATGGAGAGGTGTTCACCTGTCTTCAGCAACTCTCTGGAGTATGCAGACAGCACGCGGGAGCAGAGTGACTCTTCTTTCTTCCCCATAATAGCATTTGATTACTCAAGTATGCCTGAAGGTCGTCTTGGCAGCCTGAGTTTGAAGGAGCTCTGGGAAGCGCAGCTCGAATCCAAGCGGTCCCCAAAACTTGAGCACAGAGCAGTCACAAGAGTGAAAAGCATGATGAGCACTGAGTGCCGAAGCCTTCAGAGACAGAGGACTGAGGAGCATGGCGCTTATAACAAGCCTGTTGTGAGGACGCTCCCACACAGCAAGAAGTGTGAAGCACCTGATGGGGCCGGGCAGGGCCAGGGTGAAGTAGTCACTCTGGTTCGCAGTGAGCATGAGTCATTCGGCCTGGATTTGGAAATCCAGGCCATACCCTTAAAGGTTGTTGTCACAGGACTGCGGCCAGGTGGAGCAGCAGAAATGGTAATTTCTTAATTTGGGTTGCCTTGTTCTGATTTGCTTTTACTTTGCGGGGATTGCTTTTATTATTACTACTACTAGTACTACTACTATTATTAAGCAAGTGATCTGTTGAGAGTAAGTGCAGGGGAGATGTTTGTCTCTGCTGGGCAAAACGTCTCATCCCATTTGTTCTGAAGCTGCTGTCAAATGAAGTGTTTCTTATTCAGAAGTGCATCTTTGATTCAAAAGTAAGTCAAGAGGCAGATCTACTGAGATGGACAGATCCCCTCTTGTAGTCACAGTTTTGAGGGAATGCTAACCTTTTGTTTCCTTTCTTATTACCAGAGGCAAAGACAAAATAAGTAAATCCTGATGTTATAATAATGTTTATTATTTTCTATGCATGTATGCCTATGTTACACAGATCTGGCACCAGCTGTGTCCTCCATCCTGATGCTGATCTCTCAGAGAATCCAGCAGCCTTTTGGCCTTCCTGTTGGAGATTGATCATTAATTCCTTTCCTGGCAAAAGCACAGTCTGCTCTTCATTTACATGTTGGCAAACTGATAGCAGTGGTACCTGTGCTCTGCAGTCATGTGAAATGGGAAATGTTGCTCATAAGCCATTAATTGCTTCCCTGCAATCCTTGCCTCTGTGGCAGGGCTTCTGATGTCTATTTATAATTTCTGTGAATCTGTCATTGCATCAGGGATCAATGGGCAAGATGGCTGTAGGAGATGAGATTACCACCATCAACAGTATCCCAGTATGTAAGATGACGTACAAGGAAGTCTGCTTGCTTATGCAGTGTCTTCCCACATCCATAACCCTGGAGATCCAGAAAGCAACATCAGGTGAGAGAGTAGTTTTGCTTTTGTACATTTATTCTGAGTACCAGTGAAGAAGATTCCCTTGGATCAGCTGGGTCTGATCTGCTGCTCCCCCAGCTTCCCACATTGATTAATTAAAAAAAAGAGGGCACATAGTGTCTGCACTGGTGAGCCAGGCAAAGCACTTCATCACTAAACCAGGCTTCGGGCTCCTTCCCTAGCACCATGATGAGGGAAGCAAACCTACTCCTGTGTGAAGTGTTCAAGTGTGAAGTGTTCAAAACTCCCACTTATAGTATGTCCCTCCTGCCAGCATTTGAAAAGGTCTGAGTCATTTATGCCAACCTGGGGCTAACTCAGCAGCAACCCTGTCCTAGCAACCGCTTTTACTGCTGTGGCTGTTCAGTAAATATATTGACCCTTTATAATCACATCTGTCTTTCTTAGAAATTGAAGTTTAAGTAGTGTTTTTGCGAATGGGCAATAACAAAAGGTTTTTTCTTTCTTTCCTTTTCATATGTCAGAATTCTCTAATGTGCAGAAGGGTGAAACAGAAAAACCAGGAAAACTAGAATATTGTCAAAATGTTTATTTGCATGTTTTTTATTGAAAGTTTTCTAGTTTGGATCAAAATATTTTATATATCTTAGTTTCTGCTCAGGGCTGATTTATGCTGCTACAGCAATATATGAATCCCCACAGACTGTAAAAATTATGTGGTGTGGAAATAAGTGTTTGAAAAGAAAAGTATACTTTTCAAATTCAGGGAGAACATAATATTTTACTTTGTTTTAGCTTATGATCTTCTTCATGTACCTATTAATACCTGTGAGCCTAAACTGCTTCCAGATGCTTCAGTTCCAGTTGTTCTTTAAGGAATTCCTGGCTTGGCGGAGAGTCCTGTTCTTGTTTTCTTAGATTGCTGTGGCTTTTGCAAACTAATAGCATTGTGCTAGCGGCACACTGGCACTCCTTTATCAGGCAACTCTTCTGCTTCCCCGTGCCCCTCACCCTGCCCTGCAGGCAGAGAAGAGGGTCTCTTGAGTGTGTGATCCAGCATGCTGAAGCAGGGCAGTGCTTCAAATCCTAGCCTGACTGCTTCAGATTGCTCTTCTGCGATGTCTTCCCCTTTGATGACTCCAGGAGGAAACTGCACTTCTTAACATGAGTACCTAAATTAAGTGCTGAGGATAATCCTGCAGCTTTGTGCAAGGGTTAGAGAGGTGTGCTGGCATGTTTGAATGAGCAGGAAAGGATGCTGACTCCATGAATACGCCCCTCCTTCTCCATGGACTTTCTGGGCCTCATCTGGTAGTAGCTGGTCTCTAGAAAGCAGCTTGAATGGGGTTGCATGTCCCAGAAGCAGTGTAGAAAGGTGCAAGCAGATGCTTAGGGTGAAGTGCTGAAAATTGAAGAGCTGGAGAAATGGGTGAGATGGAATATGTTGGAGTGCAGCAGTGAAAGGGAGCTCGGTATGTTGCCCAAGAGTGGGTTAAACATGTGTTGGAAGCATTGAAAGGTCTGTGACAGAAATCCTGTAAAGCCCATGTGCTTAAGGCATGTATAACATCACCCATGTGTGTCACATTAAACACCTGCAGAAGTGCCGAGAGGATCAGAGTCAAGTTATTTATGCACAGTTTGTCACTGTGTTATCTGTTCACCTTTGTCTGCTATACCAGGGCTTAGTTTACTCTCTGTAATCTGTTGGAGACATCTTCAATCAAACAAGTAATGAGAAGCAGTACTGCTCAGACTGACTTACTTCACACTGACGCTTTGGTAATTGGCTGCTTGCCTGTTGAAATTTGAAAGATCAGAATTAAGCAGATCATGACTATTCACCTTGGATGAGTGGATTGCTCCTTTCTGTGTGCTGCTTAAATACACGGGGTTATAATTAATTTGAGTTGTCTTAAACATCATCACAGAAGAGGAGGAGTGGAAAGCAAAAGGAAAACATGTAGTCTGAATACGTGGGTGTCTATTTTTATAATAAAACCTGGTGTTTTGTGTATCACTTGCCATATCTGACAGGATTTTCCTTTTTTTTTTTAATTTATTTTTATCATGATGCAGCTGTCAGCAGATATACAAACCTCATCCTGTCTCCAGTAGTGAGTCAAAATCGGGCCGATGTCAACAGCATCCCTGCAACTGAAGAAGAACCCAGCGCTGGGAAGCAAGAAGGAGCAGATTTGCAAAATACTGGAGGTGGCTGTGCGGTGGAGAGAACAACACTGCCACCTGATGCCATGAGCAAAGACGTGCAAAGAGGCACCATGAAAAGCAGCTGTGCAGAGGACTGCGCTGCAGTCCCTGTCACTGATATTGATGACTTGCTCAGCCAAATGGGTGCTCCTGAGAGCAGGGCTTCACGCACCCCGTCGCGAGCGGAAAGCCCCCTCCGAGATGAGTACACCACGATGTGCTGCTGTGGCACTGACGAAGGCTGTCCTGGATCTGAGCCACAGCCAGACAAGGAGGAGCTGCTGGAAAAAAATGTGAATTGTGGAGCTAATGCACAAGGGGTCTTGGGGCTGTCAGTGTTGGACTCCATTAATACAGGCAAACTTTTTACTGTGAATAAAAACTCTTTAAATAACTATTCTAGGAATTTTAGCAGTTTGAATGAGGATGAGCTACCTGCAGCAAACTCTGTGGAAGATAAGAGAAGTGACCTGTTTCCGAAGTCTATGTATGGGGCTGCAGAGGATTCTCACTCAGACTCGGAGTCTGTCACAGAAACTTTTGACAGTACTAATGAGATGCTGCTTGGGCCATGCTCTGCTGCTAACACCCCCGCAGTCTGTACTGTAATGGAGTCAGATGAGGAGCAAATTGAGATTTGTTGCATGAACAATGAGCCACAAAAGCCTGTACAGGAGCAGCATCTCACATCTGCAACAAGTTCATCTTCTCTGTCCTCACTGCACCCTTACAGCAGCAAAGCTTTGCAAACTGAGGGCTGTGCAACGTGTGGGTCACTGGAGACAGGCATCAACAAACTAGGCTTGGAGGATCACGGTGGTCCCACTCCATGTCTCCCACAGTGTTCAGATGTATCCTCCACATCCTCTTGTCCTCCTTCCTCAGTTTTCCTGCCACAAAAAGACATCCTAAAGAATTCAGTCAACATCCCTGAAGTTTACTCTTTCTGCAACAACGGTGCCTTAAGTACAGAAGAACAGATGAGTTTGGGGAACAGTAATGGACATATGAAGTGCTGTGAATCCACTGAAGAGGAAGGGTCTGTGCACTGCAAAAGAATAAGCTTTTGCTCTGCTAGAAATGTCAATGGCTTGGAGAACAACTTGCTTGAGAAAGAAGATGAGCAGAGATGCAAATCTGAAAGTGAAACAGTGGTTGATGACTGTAATCATCCTGTTAATAATTCCTTAGTGAAGAAGGAAACGAACAGTTTGTCCAACTTGTCTAAAACAGACACCAATCACATGAATGCATCATCACCAAGAGCAATATCACTCAGGTCTCCCTTTTCCACTAGATCTAAAGATCCAAAGAGCAGCACAACTCATGACTTTCCAGGGAAAAATGAGAAAACTAACTCTGTAACTTCAGGAAAAACTTCAAATGGAAAAGTCCAAAGCTCAGGCACAAACCACTGCAAAGGAGCTGCAGTACCGCACAGCCCATCCTCGCAGAAAAAATCCTGTCAGGAGTCTAGGGGAATGGCACAAAAAAGTATAATGGACACCCTTTTAAATAACCAGAAGACCAGAGCAGGACCAAAGCTAAAAGGGTTCACCATCAAAAGCAAAGCAAAGGCAAATTCAGATTCTTCTGGCATTAATCCTACCAAAGTCAGTGGGGCTGATCAGAAAAGAATTTCTGTTTCTCCACAGCTGTCCCCTAAACTCCTGGGGAAGAAAACACCATTGTCTCGTAATTCGCCTACAAACCCTGATCCTGGCAAGAGCATTTCAGCAGCCTCAAGGACTCTGAAGTCAGAGCCGGAAAACAAGCCATCTCTGGTCATTTCTGAAGATTCACTTCTGCCTCTCCTGAATGGGACCGGCAGCCAAACAGCAAGCGGTGAAACGGAGTGTGGCTGTGGGGAGCTAACAGACCTGCATCAGGCATGGGGAAAGCCAAAAGAAAAGCAAGTTTCCATGCAGTCTGCAGTGTGTCAGGGTAAGGGTGCTAACGTGGATGATTTTGGAGCCAGAGACAGTCAGTCCAAAGTCACTTCATCTCCTCAGGGAATACCGAAAGTTGAATATGTGAAGGGGAGGACTGAGAACCCTGGAACAGGGCTGAACACTATCAAGACCATCTATAGTGCAGATGACCTTAGGCAGTTAGATCTGCAAAACACAAGACCATCTGCTGGAGGCTCTTCTTCGTTGAGGTCTCCCTCAGCAGGGTCAGCTGGAAGGGCAGGAGATCCAGCGCACTTTCATTGAGGTGAAGCTTTCCTCCTCATCATCCTCTTCGTCCTCTTCCTCTGCGTCTTCCTCACCAGCATCATTTCTGCAGCTGCCGTTGCTGGAGAAAACAGAAGAGGCAAATGCAGAAGTGCCTCGACTGACAGAGGAGATGGGGACCCTGCAGTATTTCTCGAAAGTGGACACTGCTGGAGACAGAAATATCTATGGCTTGTCGAAACCTGTGACAAGGACCTACTCTATGCCGGCCCAGTTGTCGGGTCACTTGGGGGAGGACTGCCATGTTGCAGAGGTTCACCCTGTGCAAGGACCTGAGGGCCATGCTGTGGAAGAGAAATACCCCCAGGTGGCGACGGAGACATTAAAGATGGCCCATCTCAACCCGCTGGATGGCCAGAGCGGGAAGGAGCAGGCATACATCTCCAAAAGCACCCCGAGGGTCCATGACACACCCCCCTCAGCCAGTGAAATTAGCTGCCCTGACACTAACAAACTGAGGAGCTTCAGGAGTAATTACTACTACTATGAGCTGAACTGGCAGCATGAATCTACCTCATCCTTCTCAGTCAAACAGAGGATCAAATCATTTGAAAACCTGGCAAATTTCGACCGGCCCATTGTGAAGGCCATTGATATACACTCAGCTGCAAGGTCCCCCCTCGCCAGGAGGTCGTGTGGTGGGATAGCCACCACGGCCAGCCCTGCAGAGATGCCACGG